AAAATAAAAAAAAAAAAAAGGAAAGCCTGACAAATTGTCACACACTGAAGAGACTAAGGACATACAATGACTGAATGCAATGTGGGGTCCTGAATTGGATCCTGGACCAGAAAACTGTCATTAGAGGAAAAACGAGTGATAGCCAAATAAAATGTTGTGTTTTGGTTAATAGTATGTACCAATGTTCTTAGTTTTTACAAATGTACAAAGGTTATGAAAGATGTTACATTAAGAGAAACTTGGTAAGGGGTATACTGAAATTCTGTACTATCTTTGCAACTTTGCCAAATCTAAAATTACACCAAAATAAAAGTTGTTTTAAACAAACAAACAAGAGAAAAACAAACCCTGGCTTCAGCCCAATAAAATTAGAAGCATATAACCTAACGGTCCTCAACCCACCAAAATCTTATTCCCTCCTCTCGTGCTGTGTGGCTTTCCTCAGCACTTATCACTATAGTGAAGTTCCTGAAAGAAAGAGTTTTTGTTTTTGTTTGTTCTGTGAGCTCGCTACTGGATGGCCAACATCCAGAAAAGTACCCAGCACTTAGTAGGCACTCAATAAATATGTGCTGAGCAATCATCTTTATTACTATTTCATTGTCCCCTCCAAACTGTTAAGGTAAACGCTTCTCTTTCCACCTTAGCAACTCCTTTAGGAGTTACCTGTGCACAAGGCAGAAAAAAAAAGATGAGAAAGTGTCCAAGTCTATAAAACTCTTGCTCTGATCTATAAAGCTGTTCTTCATCAATTAAAAAGGATGCACCTTAAAAAAAATCGTCTCTTTTGCATATCACATCAAATTTCAAATTCTCTGCCTGGCTTTTAAGTCACCTATAAGCGACGTAAGAACACAAGAAACAAAATTATCAGTTTGTTGCATGGTTATTTACTTTTCTACAAATAAGCAAGATATTTAAGTGGGTCACATTACATACTTTCCATTAAAATAAAATGTGGTGGGAACTGAAAATGGTACAGCCACTTTGGAAAACAGTTTGATAGTTCCTTATAAAGTTACAGCTATGACCTCAAAATCCTATTAAATACTTGACCAAGGAAAATGAAACCTACATTCACCAAAAACCTCTAAGTGAATTTTTACAGTGGCTTTATTAAAAAAATCACCCAAAATTGAAAATAACCCAAATGTCCAACTGGTAAATAAACAAACTATTATACCCATACAGCAGTGTTTTACTCTATAGTACATTAGTCCGCAATTAAAAGGAATGAACTATTAATATACACAACAAAATGGATAAGTCTAAATGCATTATACCAAGTGAAAGAAGCTAGACTTACACTGTGATGACATTCTGGAAAAGGCAAAACTATACAGATAAAAAGCAGACCAGTGGTTGCCAGGGGTTAAGGTCAGGGGGTAGAATTGATTCTTTAGAGTGACCGCAAGGAAATTTTTTTGGAGCGATGAATTTTTTTGTCCTTGACTATGATGGTGTTTAAATGAATCTATAGTTCTATGAAAACTCAGAATTGTTCACAAAAAGCGTGAATTTTACTGTATGTAATTTAAAATATAAATATGGAACAGAGGCTAAGAAAAAATACATATTAACGTAAATGGAAGCTCGTGTTCCAAAGAGCAACCATCAATCTATGATTATTTTATCTGCCTTAAGTCATAAAGATAAGGTAGAACTTTGCAGAAAAATCCAGTCCTTTAGCAGATTACTTCAGTTGTTACATGTGGGATGGAAATTAACAATCATCTCAGCTTAAAGAATTCAGCACACTGCACAAACCAACTACATTCGTTATTAAAATTAAGAAAGTAGAGGAAATATGACAGAATAGCTGCGCTGCATTTGTAATTAGGAGTAAATGATACCTCTAGCACATTGATTTGCTGTTAAGTCTCCCTGAAGCTCCAATGCACCTGTTACTTTGGGACACGCCCCAACAAACTAGTAAGATGTAAACTGAGTGTGTGTTACTCAGGGCTGAGGAAAACACACAACTGGGCTGTGATCGCTAAGAGCTTAAGGTCTGTGAGAAGAATCTTTAAATTGGGATTTAAGTAGTATATTTAAATAGTAAGGTAACATCAATAGATATGTTACAATTGATTTTTAATTGCCATATATAAATAAAGTAAAAAGAGTATAAATGAGTGAATGGTCTGACTCAGATAACCATATCTACTCAAAGCCATTTGGATCATGAAATAGTATAAATTAAAATGTCATAAAGAAGAAAAGATTTCTGTAAAAATAAAAATAAGGCCTTAGATCTCAGACAATAACAATGCTTTTTAGTGATGAATATACCAATAAATCCACACAGGAGCAATGAATACACAGGCCAAGAGCCTGATTTGTAGTTACTGAGCTTGATAAAGTCACTCAATTTCTCAGAAATGTATTTTTCCTATTTGCTTCAACTAAGCTATACACTATTTAGTATGCAAAAGGCAAGGTACTAGATGCTGGGATATAAAAGTGCTCAAAAGTGAGCTATGCCCACAGCTAAGACAGGGCACTACCCCATCAGCAGCAATACCAGCCAATGAGCTTAAGACAAAGCAGTCCTCTGGGCACAATTAGAGAGCTAATGACTGACCTAAGGCACAAAGGAAGGATCAGAACCTGCCATTAAACGTTTCCTAGGGTCAGTGGATTAGTATGCTATTATGTTCCATTTATAGGATTGAGCTTCTGCAAAGGTGGATTTAAAGATATGCACTATACATCCTGATCCTCTATAAAACGAAAGGGTAATCCATATTTTACAGAGAGATACGGTATATGCAGCAAGCACTGTTGCAATGTATGTCACTTTTTAAAGATAATAGAACTGAAGCTCACATTAGAGACAGGCAGACCTTTCTCCGAGGCTCAGAATAACTTAGTGCTAAATCTCAGAATTTCATTATCTGAAGCTCTGACTGGTTATTTCTTTAGAGTTGAAACAAAGCTGCTGCCAATTTACTAATATCTCTATTTTGTTGTTGTTCAAACAAAACACGCATGTGCATGGTTAAAAAAATAAATATCCCAACCTCTCTCCAACAGTTCCACTATCAGAGCAGCCCACTGTGTCTTTAATTTACTTAGGTCTAGTGATTACCTTCATCTCTCTAAATATATTTATGATTAGTTTTATCAATTTTAGAAAGTATCTACTGATTCCAATATTGGGAGGTAAGTTTAGTTCACTTGACCCCAATCTACTCCTCTTAAATTCCCCGCTCGCTAATCCTTACACTTGACAGCTTCGTTCTTTGTCCCACCAAACATATACAGCATTTCTTGGCTCTACTAACCAGGTTTTCACTGCTCTTTCCACGTTCTTCTACTTTTTGTCTCCTGCACTTTTTTTATTTTCATTTCGAGGCTGTTAAAA